ACTGTACAATGCTACTATTGCTGCTCTGTAAGGTCCACCATACAACCCAGCAACAGTTCATGAGAGGTCCAATGTTGCGCTGGTTATTTCTGAAGGGTTTTCATTCTCAAAAATGTCAAATGCTACATAAGCATAAGGATCAGAACAATTTCGATGCGATAACAGGCAATCTGTAGAAACAGAGAAATTTTGGTTCAAATCAATAGAAGGGACTAATTACTGACACTATCGTTAACCTTGAGGTGTGTTTAGTAAACAGATAGATTAGGCACGAAGTTTACGACAAACCGAAAATGTTACGTTTTTTCGTCATTCTTTGTTCAGCTCATCAGTGAGGTGAATAAATGTTTTGAGTTCTAATCAGGTAATCATGCGGAGAACAAACTTCGTTTCATTCAAATTTCCAAAATTTCTTCCAGGTATAGCTCTGGGGACATCCTGTGAAGCCTCACAAAAGAGCCCTCGAGTCAAAGCAAGGGAAATTTGATGAAAACGGCTGATAACTTCGGAAGTGTTCAGTTATCAACTGAGGCGGAAATTGGGCGAGATTCCACACCTGAGTGGCTTTTTCCACACTACATCAGCACAAGTTATCATGGTATGGTATCGCCAAAGAATTTACTCCAAATTACGTTCAAGTTTATTATTTCACACTGTTTACAGAAAAAATAACTTAACATAACATGATTTACAATGATATAGAAAAACTTCAAACAGAAATTAACCAGAAGAAAGAATATTTAATCGTGTACAGTGACCAAAGTAGCTAATTAGCTTTCGAGTTGGTCACAATTACGGCTTTTAATCAGTAATTATCGGAGTAAGGTACGTGTCTTGTTCGGCAACGTAGCTTGACTGTTTATTAGAAAATTGAATAGTCCGCCATATAGAGAATTGAATCTCCCGGAAACTCGTTTCTAGTCTTCCTCGGTTATCCTTCTCGCATTAGGCAAAAGCCCGAAGACTATTCGTACAGGAGTTTCTAACATGGTTTAGGTGCGGGTAGGATGTGGTTGATCTCTATTTTGAAAGACTTGTTTGACGTTTCTTAGCGGACGATTTTCGCCAAGGTAAAGTCATTTGTTTACCAATATACATACTTTTCAACTTGATTCATCATGTTATTGCTATAGAGGGTCTTGTCTTAACCCTCGTAGCTTAGTGCTTCCGTCAGCACTTCCTGTTTGTTGAAGAGATGCTCGTATTTTTCGAATTGGAGCTCATAGTTACCCTTGAGGTCACTGTATTCAGTAGTTTTTGATGATGATTCACTTATTTGTTATCATTTTGTCGAATTTGGCTTGATTCGCTCGGCTGGTAGCTATTAAATATGTATTTTAAAAGACGAATGGCTTTGACTCGTGGATTTAGGTGCTCCTGTCAGCACCTTCTGCTTGTTAGTGAAATAGATGGTCGTATTTTTCGAATTAGAGCTCATAGTTATTATTGACATCGCTTTATTCGGTAGTTTGTGATGTTAATTCACTTATTTGTTATCATTTTGTCGAATCTGGCTGAATTCGCTCGACTTCCAGCTGAAAAATATGTGTTTTAAAAGACAAATGGTTTTAACTCGTGGATTAGCACCTTCTGCATGTTTTTTTGAGAGATCTTCGTATTCGCCAACCATTCGCTTATTTTTGGTGAGACCAACACATAATGTTTTTACATTCATTATTATATATAATACTGTATCTCCTCCGTCTCTCGTAACTCATGAAAAACATATTCTGACTGAAATCCTGAAAATTACAGTCAACTTTTTGAAGGGCATCAGCTTTGCCTGGTGGCCCATCAGATCGCGGATGCCTGATGCCGTAAAAATTTTATTTTACTTCAATTAATACTAGCAAAACATTGAACAGTTTTTCAGTTCCCGTGGGATGAAAATCGATCAAAATACCGTTGTGGCCGAATTCATTTGTGCTTCCAAACTCGAAATATGTTTTCAAAGTAGTTGTTGAAAATCAATTTTCTAGTTTACTGCTGGCTTGCTGTGATTAACATGATACATTCCTTAATTTTGAGCGAAAGGAACAACTGATGCATGTACCTCTACTCCAAAAACATTGAAAACTGCTGCTTATAAGCTGCCCCACTTAAAAGCGCTAGTCAAAGCTCTCAAGTCTTTCACATTGAGTGTGAATCTCATGAAAACAAATTTAATTTTATGTTCTCAAGCTGAAACTATTGTTTCTTACAGCAAATCACGGCTTTCGTTAAATAACTTGAAATTAATTATCCTTTTAAATATAATTTACTCCTTGTTCCCTCTGACTTGCTTCAAAGTCTTTCCAGCAGTGGAAATGCTTGCTTAGACTAATGTATTCCATAGCAACTTCATATTCTTTTTCATAGTTTTCGGGGGTAGTATGCCCCCATTTCCTCTAAGGATGGTGATGCCTGCTGCATCCCATTTGAAGGCTAATATGCAGGTGATAATCTCAGTCTTGAAGGTAGTAAAGTAGTGTAGTGTGAGTGTTGTGTAATTGTGTGTGTTCCCCCTACTCCATTTGACTTTTAATCTTTAACACCCTAAGACATTGGTATTCATATTCTCCACACTGTTCTCTTTACATTTCCTATGGAACAGACAAGGAGAATTTGTCAAAGAAGTATATTTGATAGTGAAACAAATAGAAAAGTCAGTTTAGAATATAAGAGCTACATTTATTATTTTATAAGTGTTTAATCTAAGAAAATCTTTCTTGGAAAAACTACATTGACTGTGTTATTGCTAAAATAAGAAAGACCATACAAATGATTGCTAAGCTGGGATACTTTGTTCCATCATCTGTCCTCCTAAATATCTATAAATCCTTAATTTTACCTAATATAACTATTAACTCACTGCTTGGGGCAATGCATCCAAAAAATATACTGTAAACAAAATTGGTCTCCAAGAGCAAGTATTGTGTTTAAATACTTTCCTGACAGAAAAGAACATGCTCTCTCCTTATTTATAAATGCAAAAATTCTACCTATTGCCTTCCTCTATTGGGAAGCTGTAAGTAAATTAATGCTTGATGTTCAAATGATAACAACAGAGCACCATCTATCATCATGAAAATTTTTGTGAGAACATTAAACAATATCATTACATCTATACTTACTCATCAACATCACTACTCTTTAGAATTAAATACTCCAGGTGTCAAAATCTAGAATGAGATGCTTAACGAATAGAAAAATTTTTCAAAGAAATCCTTCTAAAAAGAAACAAAAGAGCTGGTCTCAATATTCTAGGGACTGAAAATTCTTCTTTCAAGCCTGATGAGTTAATGGTTAAATTCAAATACTGCAAAATTGAAACAAATTAAACTTGCCGTTGTACAATATTTTTAGTGCACTTAGATACTCAACAACTTTTTATCTTTTACAATGAATGTCTTTCATTTTCCTTTTTCTTTTCTTGTGTATCTTTTAATCTTTTTTATGTAATATTTTCTTATTTACTGTCAACAGAATCTGCTAAAAATGTTCCAAATTTCATTTTTTATCCTAAGTTAGGGAAACTAGTTTTAACCACTTAAAAGCTTAATTTGCCAAACAAAAATCTTAGAAAGGAGGCAAGATATGGCTGAAAGAATGTTTCAGGAAACCTGACCTGAAGAACAAAAGGTGTCATAAATGGAAAGGCCTCCAGCAGAGTGTTTATGTTTTTCTGCAGGCTTTCATCCAGGATCTCAATTTACATATATTGTTTACATCACATCTTGCACTGCATATTCACTAGGAATCTCTAGCACCTTTCACAAAATGTTGAGTAATGAGAGGCTTCATCAAACAGCCTAGAACAGTAAACTAAAAGTTGGTAGAGACAGCCCAAGCCAAAGAAATTGAAGTTAATTCATTTTCCTCAGCTTGCTTGGTGATGTTTGAATTATGTTTAATTTACGTTTCCTTTTCATGAAATGACCTTTCTTGAAAATTTTAAAGGAGCTCTTTGTCAGGAGGCCTGCCAGGGGCTTTCATGTTGTGTTTCATTGGTCAGCAGCATGACCACATTGACACATGCAATATTTCCCATTGTCCAACTTCACAATAGATTTCTCAGGAACTAATAAGAATACCAAAATTGTCTCAGACACCTTGTTAGCCTGGAAGGCACCCTATTTTGTTAACAGCAATCTTAAGTAAAACATTGCCCCACCTGGATTAGCATCTGCCATCTGTAAGTTAAAGTAATATTTTGTATATTGAATATGAGAAAATAGATAAAGTGTGACATGGGAAATTCAGAAACTTTTAACTTTTTGATGATCTCCTTTATTCTTGTGACCCATACATTTGATTCAAGGGTGATACTGTAAGGAGAAATTAGAAGCCAATCACAGCCTGTTATCTTCTGAGTGATACTGTCAAGTTTGTTGTGAGGTCTGGGGTAATGTGGAGGCTGGTATTTCAGTAAAACAAATGCCATCAATGTTGTGTTTAAATGATTACATGTGCCTACCAAAACAAAAACTGTAAAAAAAATTTCTATTTCCATAATCTTTTCTCTATAAGCTTTAGTGTATTTTTTCAGTTTCTCTAGTAGTAGTATGATTAGGATGATTTTTGTGGAAGGCACCCTATTTTGTTGATGGTAACCCCAGGTAAAAAAATTACCCTGCCTGGATTAGCATCTACTATTTGCAAGTCAAAGGAATATTTTGTATATTGAATATGAGAAAATAGATAAAGTGTGACATGAGAATCAGGAACTTTTTAAATTTTTGCTGATCTCCTCTATTCTTGTGACCCATACATTTGATTCAAGGATGATACCGTAAGGAGAAATTAGAAGCCAATCACAGCTCTTAGAGGTTAAAGGGTTAAAATGGAAGATGTGTCAAACTTATTTTATTGATCTGTTGTGCGATATTTAACTCATTTTTGGAGTGCTGTAATATTATGGTGTTGCAAAGTTAGAACAAAGCAATGATTTTTGTGTGTGCTCTGTTATTTTGCCTTCCATGTATTAATTACAAGCATTTCTTTACAGAGGACTTGATTTCATGGCTTCTGCCACCCCATTGCATCCTTCTACCAAAGAGACCTCCAATTATGCACGGCTCTGTCACCTTCTTGTTGATGTTGGATCATGTGTGCTGAGGGAGATCTTTGACAGAATATGTCCACCAGGAAATCTTCACACAGTTCTGAGTGATCCCAAAAATCATGCAAAATTGCAAACACTGCGAAAGAAGAGAGTCCTGAGTACTTCCCAGTGGCACAAACTGTATCCTGCTTTCAAATCTTCAGTTTGCTCAAGGGACTTTGACACCTTCCTACTGGTATTTCTTCTGAGGAATATTTGGGGTCTGACTCTCCTTGCCTCTGGCCAGGATGACCTTCCTCTGGCAACAGACACCTCTCCAGCAGCTGATATCACTCGCATCAAGATCCTCAGAGACAGAGTTTACAGCCATGTTACTAGTGGTTCAGTTGATGATCCAACTTTCAGTTCCTACTGGAATGACATCAGAGACACCTTTCAGTGTATTGGTGGGGCCCGCTATCGTGATGTTATCAATGATCTTGAAATTGATTGTATGGATGCTGATAGTGAGAAGTACTACCAGGAGCTTTTTAAAGAGTGGTTGAAGGATGAAGACTGCATCACAGACAAATCACATGAAGATGAAATGGTAAAAAAGGCCAGGAGGGAAGATGACCTGGAGAGTTCCATTGAGATATACGAACAAAATTCAGGGAATGAAGGTTTGTGTGATATACTTTTGTTGATTTTAAGTTTTAACTTGTCTCTTTTGTATCAATAATGTTAGATATAGTGGATGATGAAATAAAAGGATTTACTTCCAATATTTTTGTTTGGAAAGTCATTGGTACACTGTACATCAAAGTAAAGTTTTGTGTTTTTTTTTTCTTGATGTTATGAATGAAGTCTATGAAAAAATTCATAGTCAAGATATAATTCTGTACTGAAGATGATAGAATTAAAGCCTGATTATTTGAGTGAAAGATGATGAAACTCAGTGAATGACACAACCATGCAAACTCAGAGAAAAAAGGGGAGCTCTCAGAGGTGTTTTTTTTTTCTTCAACTATGCCTGTGTAATTTTTTACTGTTAAATCAGTTAGTGTGGGCTTAAAATGTTTTATGCAGGGTCATGGGTGCATTGACTTAATTATTATTCATTACCGGTTTTCTTTTCTTTTTCTTTATTGTCTTTTGATTTTCTTTCGGATCTGCTAATAACTTGTAATAAATGAATGGAAAAAAAAAATGAAATACTACATTCTTCTTTTTCAGAGACAGTAAAGATGCCAGGGGAAACTACATCAGCACAGAATAGCAATGCAAGCCCACCAGAGCTTAATGTTACACTTCCATTGATGAGTGATCTACCAAAAACTTCTTTTGCCTGGAGCAATGTTGAACTTCCTGTTGATATTCTTTTATTAGCAGTGGAGGACTGTGAGTTCTTAAGCTGCTTTGCCTACCTGAAGGAACCCTTCAAGAGTTACCACATCAGTACTGGCCCTGTGTACTTTGGGTGCATGGGTAATGATCAAGGAAACAAAATGAAAATTGCATTGATGAGGTGCTCCAAAGGTCCTGATGTTCCTCAGGGTTCTTTGTCAGTTTCAAAAGATGCCATCTCAGTACTGAGGCCCAAGGCTATCTTTTCTGTTGGTGCCTGCAGTGGTTTGAATAGCAAAAAGGTCAAGTTAGGAGATGTGGTTGTTTCAGCAAAGCTGATAACAGCTGTATACAAAACTCCCCCCAGCAGAGATATTGGTAAGCTGATCAAACATGTGGCTGATGGGTGGAAGGCACCTTTACAAAATGCTGATGAATATAATGCCAAAGTGCACTGTGATGGAGTGGTTCTGAGTATCTCAGAGGCAAACAGAGATATGATTAGGAAACATCCTGAAGCAATTGCAGTTGAAATGGAAGGTGGAGGTGAGAATCATAATAATACAAATAATTGATGAGCCAAGCACTTTTGCACATGTAGCAAATGTTTTGAAAAACACTGCTCTGGTATTGTCTCTGCTGGTCCAAGCATACACCATATAACATGCCAAATTTGCAGGAATTGTGTATCTTGTATTTAAAGTGATTTGATGTTTGGCTGGGTGAGAAGATTATTTCACAGGTGAAGGTGACTGAGACTTCTTCTGGATAACTAGATTGAATTTGCTCCATTAGGATGTCATGAATTATTTTAAATTTGTCACATGAAAAATGTAGAAAGTATCTTGTTCAATAGTTTGAGAGTTGAGGAATAGTATCACAGTCCCTGTTAACCCTGAAACTCCCATGAGTGACCAAGATAGAATTTCTCCTTACAGTTTCAATATGATATTAAGCAGACAAGTAATGGGAAAAGAAAAAAGTGTGAATTAGGGGATTATTGGTTGATCCAAAACTAAATTCTCCTAACTAACATCATAGGAATTTTATGACCTACATTAACCCTTTAACTCTTAGAAGTGATTAAAATGCAACTTCTCCCTATAATATCCATACATTATCCAGCAAACAGGTAGTGAGAATACTGAAACTCATCAGGTAAAAGATAAAATTACCTTGATAAAACATCCAATTTTTTTGTAACCAATTTACAAGGAAATGTGTAGCAGCTAGAAGGGAGAATTCACAATCAGATCTTGGGAGTTAAAGTGTTAAAGAGGATCATTAAAGAGATCTTAGGAGTGAAAGGGTTAACTCTAACTGACAAAACTTTGTCTTTTGAAAAATATTGAAAGTTACTTGATATGAAACAAGATGAAGCCTGAAGAATAGTTTTACAGTCTCAGTGTACAATTTTTTTTGATTACTGGTTGAAAAAAATTAGGTTTCTGTTCCAACTAATGTCTTTCTGCAATGTGCATGTTTACAACAGCAAGAGTGCAGCTAGAGTGTGACTCTTTGTGAGCTTTGATTGAACAATTACATGTATTTTAAAGATGCGAAGAAAATTAAAGCTTAAGATATAGTTAACAGACATTACTGTTTATTTGTTTTGTTTTTTTTTTAGAGTGTATGCAGCAGCCCATCATTTTAAGACAGAATGGATGGTAGTCAAGGGCATCAAAGACTTTGTAGATGAAACGCACTCTTCAAGTAAGAAATGGAATGAAATTGCCTGTGTGATGGCAGCTTCTGTTGTGGCCAACATTTTGAATGATCCAGTCATATTCCAAGATTGGCCTCATTTTAATGCAGGTATTGCTTCCTGTCTCAATGTTCTCTTTTTACAAGGATAGGTCTGACTTAGATCTAAGTTCCCTCAGCATATTTTTGTATGAATTATAAATCAACATGATTTAATCAGTAATAGTTGACAAAGAGGAAATTAAGTTACCCTTATTTTGAGTTTACATACCAGTAAGTGTCTAAAGGTGATGGGAGAAAAAACTTGTGGTTAAATTGAGTGATGTAATGATGAATGACAATTCACTCCATGAGCCACGTGAACTGGCCTGTTTTCTATAGTTAGCTTGGATATGGAAAATTCAGAGGCTAATGACATCTGCCAAAGTGATTTGAAGTGATTTGATATATGTTCCTGGGCCAATAAGAAACAAATCAAATTGTTTTAAACTAAAAAAATTGATTAATCCAGTACTACATGTGTGACTGTATTTTGATGGTGAAACTATTGGAATGGAAAGGGAGGTGATAAATACCAGCACATATGTTTATGGTTCTGTTTTTTGTTGTTGTTGTTGTTGTTTTTTTTAACCCTTTATGGAACCTGACATGTTAGTAGATTGAGACAAATAAATCAGATTGTAGGTAAATTTCTTAAGAGCTAATGTCAGCATGCATCAAACAAACAGCGGCAAGTCACCCAAATTTGTTTCCCCTCCTTTTGTCCTTTGAATTTCTCTGTCACGCTTGTCACGCACTGATATAATAAGTTAGAGAAGATAAATAAACTGAAACTCAAATCTGGCTGGAACGTGGTAGAGCATGATTAACATGATCATCAAAACAGCTAATAAAATCATAAATAAACAAGGTAAGAGTGTTATGTTAGACTTTGTACCAATTGTCGTGATTTACGCCAATTAACGGTGGCGACAAGTAGGCGCACCATGTAGATTTCATAGTCGCTATCAAGTAAATTTTGCCGGACTTTGAGTTCGTCTCAAGATAGAACAACACAAATACACAAGGAAATTTTTACAGTAACTTTATAACCATCCTTTGGTCTTTTAAAAGCATGCAGCTCAGTAGATTGTGTCATATCAGTCATTGTTAAAACTGTCTTTGTTTTGATGCTACTTTTCGACATAGGAAAAGTATGTCGGACAAAAATATTCACCAAAAATAAATATTTCTTTGGCAGCTTCAATAACGATAGGGGATTAAGTCTAGATGATAAAGCAAAGGCTTATGTTCACAGAAATACCGGAGGTCTAGTACATTCATTACATGAAGTCACATAAGGTCGAAAAATGAGGTCGTTCACCTCATGTGAAAAATTAAAATTAAACCCAAATGTCCACACTGTGTTTTCATCGGCAGTATCTTTGTCTGTTCGTGGGTACTCGTGTACAACTGCTGGAGTGCACTTTTGTGATTTCTAAGCGTCTTATTGAGTTTGATCTGTTCAGAATCGAGTAGATATTGACATAGGTATCATTGTTTATCTGCACGTTTATGTGAATTTGTGATGTAAATGTGCTTATGAAATTGCGCTTATCTTTCTTACTAATGCAGATTCGCTACGTGACCTCAGAGACACAACTGATAAGACAGAGATTGAAATGAAGGAGGTTAAAGAGACGCTTTGTAGCCTGACGACCACAGTGGAGAAAAAAGCACAGATGAAGGTTGGTTGCTAGAAATAGCTACTCACAGATAAACTGAACTATCAATAGGGATTCCGTTCCGTTAACTTGAGTACACTTTTCAGGTAATGTATTGTTATAAGAGCACGCCTTGGCTACTAGGTTAAACCTAAATGAAGATACCAGGTAATGTGTGGGATGAATGGGATGGCACGGAATCTCAGGTTACCTCTCAGATTGGATAGCTTTCTGACATCACTCATACACATTTGGCCGAGAAGGGTTATTACCTTATTTTAGTTTTACTTTTGTTATGGACATAATGAATCTAACTTCCTAATTCGTTAGATTTTACCTGCATATTCTTGAACAGACTAATGCAATCCTTCCTCCACTCAAATTTTTTGTAGAGTATTCTATTTTACATGGAAAAAATTTCTGAATGAGGGCTGTGTTAGTAAAAAGGGGCAGGAGAAGGCGTATGTGGTTATTTTAATTTTCCCGAGCGAAAAACTGTGAACGAAACTTCACAATGCATAGCAGCCGGACCTCTGGTTTGTTCCAGCGTTTTCCTTTTTCTATGATTAAACGACGTGAAAACGAGGGCGGAAAAGCGTTCTTTGTTTTTTTTTAAATTAGTTCTTACAATGGTCTTTTTTACCGACAAAAATCTTACTCAGACTATCGACTCTAATGATATCAATATTTATCTCCCGAGTTTCACTATCAGAAACCGCTATAGCCGAGCCATAAGTTTTTTTCGAATATTGTATAAAATTTAAAAAAACAACAACAACAACAACAGAGGAAGGGAAAAGGATCTATTTAGTTAACTTTTAATGAATAAAGTGACTCTCACTCGGACTAAAAGTTCCAATGTTATTCCACGAAAGGGTCTGTTGAGAAAATGATAGGCGAAATGGTAAAGATGGACAGCGAACTGAAAGAAGTGAAGGAAAAGCTGTGTACTTTGACAGCCTCAGTGGGAGAAAGCAAGGATGAAGGTAAGTTGAATTATACAATAAAAGTTATCCTGCTTAACCGCAAATTTCGCCGTAGTCAACATGGCCTGTATGTGAGAGAGGGAGAGATCATCCTATGTTAAAAAGATTCAGTTTTTCAATTTAGACAATCTCTGGAATAATCTCTACGGTGTGCTTTCATTCCCTCCAATTGTTCAAACTTTCACCCGTAATTAGCCTGGAAAACTGTATATTTTGATTAGAGTGGAGAACGAAATAAAACGAAGTACAGATTTAACGAAAACATTGGCATTAACATTGGCTCGATGTTAGAAATTAACAGAGCAGGTTCCACTGCATTTACAAGCCAAATAGCTTTTGGTCAGTAAATTGACATGAATCATACATTGATACCTTTTTCATCGTCCAAGTAATTTCTTTGGCAGTGGTGTCGTATTCTCGTTCGCTAATTTAAATTCAGTGCCGAATACCTAGTAGCATTAGATGTAATCCGCATATTTCTGAATAAAATAACTAAACCCTTCCTGCGCTCATATTGTGGAGTATTCAATTCTACATGGGAAAATAGTTGAATGAGGATCGTCTTGAGTAAAATAGGTTCCTAAGGAAAAGACTGTAGGAAAAACCTCCCACTTCATCGCAGGCGAGTCCCCGGTTTTTTGCAGCTTTTTTGATGAAACCGCGTGACAAAGAAGGCACAAAGGCGTCGTTTGGTTTCCATTTATTTGTTCGTAGTCTCGGTATATCCCGAAAAAGCCTTTCTCAGACTACGGCTCCAATGATATGAATATTTATCTCCCAAGTATTTTATTTTACGACAGAGTTTCACTGTCAGCCGAACAAACAGAGTAGGTTTACCTCAATTCATAATCTAAATGGCTTTTAATCAGTAAGCATGAATCATACACTAAAAGCTTTTTGCATCGTCCAAGTAATTTCTTTGGCAACGGTATCGTACTCATTCACTTATTTAAATCCAGTGCCGAATACCAGAGTGGCACCACAATTTTTAATGCTGCATTCATTAGATTTCTTACTTATTTTGCCACTGCTAGGTATTTTTGATCCAACTGAGCTTATCAATGGAATTCGCCAGCTGTACAAGACTCGCGAGGGATGGCTCTCACCATTTCCATGGTGTGAAGAGTTTCAGTTTTTTCTTGGCAATATTTTTACAAGGCTCAAAGTGGTCAGAAGAAAGAAAACGAGAGGAGTAATCACTGACGTATTTGTTGACATGTCGTCAATACTAGACCCGTATGAAGAGTGTTCAGCGCCGAGAACAGTGTTGATTGAAGGAGAACCTGGTATGGGAAAAACCACCTATTGTAAAAAGTACGCCTACGACTGGGCCACAAAACAGCAAAAACCTCAGGGCTGCGGCTCCACAGCATTTAAAGTGGTATTGTTGTTGAAATGTCGAGACATCCATTCTGACGTCTGGGAAGCCATTGATGATCAGCTGCTGTCCCTGGACATCGATGAAAAAGTCAAAAGACAATTTTTTCAGTTTATTCGTGAAAATCAGTCGAGCATTTTATTGATATTGGATGGATTGGATGAGTTACCATCCGGCAAATTGTCGATGTTTTCCAAATTAATTGAAGGAAAAGCACTCCCCAGATGCCACATAGTTGCAACAGCAAGACACGAAGCTGGAAAAGAGGTGAGAAAATGTTGTGACGCGCTGCTTCAGATCGAAGGATTTACTAAAGAGCATGTGATAAAATTTGTCATCAAGTACTTTAGAGAAAGGAGGGTTTTAGCCATCAAGCTCTTGCTACGGATGGGGCAAGATGAAAACCTGAGAGAAATAGCGGCCAATCCTCTAAACACAGCACTTCTTTGCCTTTTATGCGAAGAGTTTGAGGGCACACTCCCCGAAAGCAGAGCTCAACTGTACTTGGATATGGTTGAATGTGTTTTGAGAAGATATAGAAAAAGGAAGGGACTACTAGAAAAGATCGAAGACTTGACAAACCATTACAAACCGCAATTGAATCACCTTGGAAAGGTAGCGTTGAATGGTTTACTTGACGATAAGTTGGATTTTAATGAAAGTGAATTAAGAAACCATGCAAAAGACCTGACTGAATTTGGATTTCTGTCAGTGCAGCCTGGTGGCAGCAAACTGAGACAAACACTGCACTATGCCTTCTTACATAAAAGTTTTCAAGAATTCTTTTTGCAGCATTCTTCATTTCTTCTCAGATTCAAAGCAAGGAGATGAAACCTGAAGAACTAGTTTCCGATCCAAGGTATTTTGTTGAACTTAAACAAATACTTTTGTTTTCGTGTGGAATTTTGACCATGAAATGCGATGAACAGGTTGTGGCTCTTGTAAAGAGTTTAACAAATGAAGTCAACAAATATGAAGGCCGTGGTGCAAAAATTGTATTGGAGGCCATCAACGAATGCAAAAGAGAAAAAAAGTGATTTTCACTCGCATTTATCGAAGTCGTTTGGAACTGGTTTGAATCTGACCAATTTGAATTTGCAAAACAATAGTGTTAGTGATGTGGGTGCTAAATGTATTGCTGAGGCAATCAAAGTGAACAAGACGCTAACCAATTTGGATTTGCGAAGTAATGGTATTAGTGCTGCGGGTGCTACATGTATTGCTGAGGCAATCAAAGTGAACAAGACGCTAACCAATTTGTATTTGTCTTGGAATCGTATTAGTGATGCGGGTGCTACATGTATTGCTGAGGCAATCAAAGTGAACAAGACGCTAACCAATTTGGATTTGCGTTACAATGGTATTAGTGCTGCGGGTGCTACATGTATTGCTGAGGCAATCAAAGTGAACAAGACGCTAACCAATTTGGATTTGTCTGACAATGTTATGTGCTGCGGGTGCTACATGTATTGCTGAGGCAATCAAAGTGAACAAGACGCTAACCAATTTGGATTTGTCTGGGAATGATGTTAGTGCTGCGGGTGCTACATGTATTGCTGAGGCAATCAAAGTGAACAAGACGCTAACCAATTTGGATTTGTCTAGGAATCGTATTAGTGATGCGGGTGCTACATGTATTGCTGAGGCAATCAAAGTGAACAAGACGCTAACCAATTTGGATTTGTCTGGGAATCGTATTAGTGATGCGGGTGCTACATGTATTGCTGAGGCAATCAAAGTGAACAAGACGCTAACCAATTTGGATTTGCGTTACAATGGTATTAGTGCTGCGGGTGCTACATGTATTGCTGAGGCAATCAAAGTGAACAAGACGCTAACCAATTTGGATTTGCGTTACAATATCAAAGTTTTAGGGCACTGCCTTTAAAGTAGGCAGGTTCCCTTGAAAATTGAGGGCCGAAGGCCCGAACCTCTAGGGGGGTCCGGGGGCATGCTCTAAAGTGCCCTAAAACTTTGCTCCCCCGGGAAATTTTTTAAAAGATAAGTCTCCCAGAAACGCATTTTCCTGCAATCTGGAAAAGAAATCTTGTTGCAATGATGCATACTTAATCTATCATAATAAAAAAGAATGGTACTCTGGGAGAATTTGTTTATTTCACTGTTGTTTTCGGAGCCTCTTTTCGCTGTCGAAGTTTTATTGCTAAGTGGATGTAAAAATTGATGTTTTAACGTTTTAGCTCTGCATGGGAAGACCAAGAAATGTAGAAAGTCTTAACACACTCGTGTTTCGCTGTTGTTTTCCTTATTTGATCCTTTTGTAACATGAACGGCGCCCCGCGTGGGCGGGTTAACCGACCTTGAGACGTTTACATGGCAATGTTGCCCCCTTGCTGACAGGGTTACCCTACCCTGTAGACTGGGCAACCCGCCTAGACGGGTCGCCCCACCTATCATGTAAACGTGATCAAGATGAAATAATAGATTATATGGACAGGCGGGTTACTTCACCTATCTGGGACTCCCCATCTCCTTGAAAACAGGCCCTCAGTAGTCATCGGTCTGCTTTTTTGAGTCTATTATTCGAATAAGAGTCGCGTAATGACTTGGCATTTATTCGGGGGCGGCGTTTATCAATATTTTTGCTTTAAAATACGGCAGTTACTCGAGGGTGTTTCATCGAATATAACGTAAACCGACGTAAACCGCTCATAAAAAATTGATCGATTCTAAAATAGAACAGGACAGTTGTAAATGCATTGTGACCCTCTCGATGAGCAGTTTGGTGTACAGTTAAACATGATTTATTTCTGTGTGATTTGTTGAGGACCGACATCTTTCAATGTACCAATCTCAATCAGCGAAATAGACCAGTTTGTGCGCACGTATACACTATAGTACATGAAGAAGCCTAGAACTTAGGAGAAGTCAGTAATTTTCAAGAATCCGGCGACACAAGCAAAAAAATTCAACCTTTTTGTTTGCTCCAAAAGACCCTTTTGGTGAATTGTTTTCAAAAATAATATTCAAAAGTTCCAGCGAGTTTTTATTTTGGCAAAAAATACGAAAGTTCGAAATCGGCGAAAACGTACCTAATTTCCATAATTTATATCGGGCTTTCAGTGCATTTTCACAACGCTCGTACTAGACAACGAAAAATTATCTTGGATTCATATTTTTCATCCCTTGGAATAGCTCTCCAACTATATTTCCTCTCCAACTAAACTTTCTTTCGTTTGCAACCACCCGCGTAAAGTACATTATATTTTGTATTCCGTTTGTACGCTGAATTTTGCCATATTTCAGACGACCATAACATCGGGGGTATACGAATGTACATAAAATAAAAGAGCTCTTTTCAACGAGCAATTCTTCATGTTTATCATGTAAAAACATTATTTTTGGCCCGTGAAAAGCGAGCGCGCCAGACCAAAATATACAGCGTGCATTTTCACGGAGTTCGGCTATTTTCTTTGCTGTATTCCTATTGCAAATCACACGCTATTGGGACAAAACTCGAAGTGTTTGGTCTCTACTTCTGTTTTGATTCATTTAAATCTATCAATTTTAACTTAAAAATTACCCTACCTTTATTGTTAAGGGAACAAACCACCGTTTTAGGTAAAGTTTTTGAGTTTATTTTTCTCGAGTGCTAAATAAACAAATCGCTGTTTATAAAGATACCAACTCTGTCGACGTGTTTTTGGCTGAAATTGGCCCGTCGCTTATATTGTTTTTTAATTTATAATCTATCCCACTGGCATAACTTTAGAGCAAATTACAGGTAACTATAAATGTTGTTGTAAATACGTGACTGTGAGCTAAATAAAATCTTCGTACACATAAAATGTTCGAAACATGTAGCTGTCGCAAGAAAATACTTGATTGTGCCTGAACCTCGTGTATACATTCGGTGTTTTGCTCGGTTGCTTTTATAGATTTCTACTAATGTCACTGTAATGAAAATAGCATGTTTGTGTAGCCCAGCTGTTTAGATACATTTTCAAATTAACTCTAGGTTGGAATTCTATTTGAAAAGATTGTCGAAGAAATCTGAGAAATAATGCAACATACTCCATCTCAGACACTGATTCATGGATTACCGTAGTAGACCACTTTCTAACGCTGCCGAGAAATTATTCTCATGCAACATATAGAGAAATGCACTTATGTATATGTAGTCTATGTTTTTTGAAGTAGATTATATCTGCAGATCTCAGATTCCCCAGCTAAAGGTATCCTGAATCAATTTCCACAACGCAAATACAGTTGGTTGGTGAGGTAACCCGCCTAGGTGGGGTAAGTCACCTGTCCATATAATTTCTTACTTTATTTTGATCACGTTTACAAGATAGGTGGGGTGACCCGCTTAGGTATGAGGTTCTTTTACGGACAAAATTTCGAACATGGATACATTAATGTAAAATTAAATAAATCAATTTCATCCGGAATACATCGATTTTGGACGTCATACATCGATGCATCGATGTTGTGCAGCATACATCGCTTTCCTGACTCATTCATGCGTGACCTTATATAACTAAAAGATGTTCAATAAAACTAATAGATGAGGAAGCAGAAATAGAAATGACCGGAAGTCAGATTAAACAAGAAGTCCCGAAACTAACACTTTCAAAATGGCTGAAATAGAGGCAGATGATCAGTGAAGTTTGAGAAGCACTATGCAAGGTGCGCGGATTTGGCTGCCCAACATCGAAGGATTTTTACGTCCTTGGGTAGGCTACTGGAAGGTGCAAAAAAAAAAATTAAACTTCTTGAAAACAAAGCGAATAGTCCCAAGGGTAATCTATTGTTTGCGCTATTGTTTTCTTCTAACAAAGGACTGTATGCATAATGAAGTATGGGGCTGTGCGGAAACTTTGCCAAGAGATCACCTCAACTTCATTTGGGAAGGCTTCATCTATTCTTAGAGTCAAAGTGACAAGAGTTCTTTCGTTTTCTCGTAAACGGCGACTAAAAAATTCAGCCGAGTCCTAGGACGCATGGTTCCTTTGCCCTTCTGCACTTTCCAGTAGCCTGCCCAAAGAAAAAAAAAATCCTTCGATGTTGGGCAGCCAAATCCGTGCACCTTGCATAGTGCTTCTCAAACTTCACTGATCATTTGCCTCTATTTCCGCCATTTTGAAAGTGTTAGTTCCCGGGGCCTCTTGTTTAATCTGAGTATTCCGGATGAAATTGATTTATTTTATTTTAAGACTTGTATTACAACGCATAACAGTAATGTAATTGAACAAAACATTAATGTATCCATATTCGATATTTTGTCCGTAAAAAAACCTCATAAGTTCTGTCTGTGATACAAGTTTGCCAATTCCCCCATCAGCTTTTGGAATCGACTTAACCCTACCTTTACCATGGCCGGACACTTCTTTTGGCACCCTACATCTGCTACTGGAACCACGACTCCACCCAACACCGAGATTTGATCTATGAGTGGGGCAATTTGTAAAATCATCGATATCTTTTGGCGTCTCGAAGATATCGGCACGCGACAAAATAAGATCAGCTTTATTTTCTGGGTCTGAAAACTTGTAACCCCGCATGTGACTTGAAATGTCTTTTTAACAACCACGCAAGGGAACGACTTGAGATATACAACTTCGTTCTTCTCGATAACTAAACCCACAAGTTCCACCAGCGAACGATTTAACTGAACAGCAAATCTCCATGTTAGCATGTAAGATGAGACCCTTATGAAACAGATCAGTTAGCTAAATCAGTATGTAGCTTGTCAAATTGACTATTGTGGTCATTCTTTGATTTCAGCCAGCAAAGGAATCATTAATAGATCTGAACATTCTAGTTTTCTGAATGCAGTAATTCCTGAAAGGTTTTGCTAGATGTCGTGCAAA